TCAGATATCTACAAAATATACAATTCTGCCAAGACCACGGGAGGCAGCCTCTCAACAGACCCGGCCTCGATGAAGGATTCAAGTAGAATAACCTGTCGCTGTTCATGTCAAAGATAGATATTATGTGCGACCTTTGCATCAGTCGTGAAGTTGACAATGTGCTGGAGGATCTTTGGAATGCTCACATTTTAGAAAAGGAGGCAGAGCGCAAAGAAAAGGAACGAGATAAATCTGAAGCCATCAAATCTCTCGCCAGTAATGAACCTAAAACGGCCGTACTTTCAATGGATCTTCAGCATCAGCCTTACATTACAAAACGAAACTCGCCGTTCATAACTTTACGCTATCGGGTGCTGCAACACGCCAGACTACTTTTTTACCTGTGTCGTGAAGCAGAAGGGGGACTTATGGCAAATGAGTTAGCTTCATGTCTATTGGATTTCCTGAAGGAAAAGCTTCCTGAAGGAGAAGGACTTCCAGAAAACCATTATCGACAGCGACAACTGTGGTTACTAATACAGAAATGCCACACTAGAAAATGTTTCTCTCAGCCTGTTTTCAACAACACATGGAAGCACAATTGAACAAAAACATTATATAAAATGACAAACACAAAATGGAAATTATTAGTGCGAACTCAACTATTAAGAGATCGCTTCGAAAAACACGCATCGAGGTCCCTCAAGACTACGTCCATTTCTTCATGATGGCAAGAGCAAAACAAGAAACTTATCAAAACAAATATTCGGATCTAGGAATACTCTAAGTGTGGAAGCTACGACAAGTCTATAAGACTAGGTAGAAAAACGGGTGATCCTATTGTCAGGTGTTTGAAGTACATCCCAGACATGAACATCCAGTTCAAGATACACCTCAAATATGAATGGGCTGCCGTTCCGAAGGCAGGACACAGAAACATAAAGTCCATCCTACCTCACCACTCTACACAAAACGTTTAAGTACAATCACCTACAGGTGTTTAAATCTGTTATTGCCAATATGCATCGTCACTTCATGACAATTTATGCCATTAACATTATTGGTTTTTCATTATGATTCAACATCTCTTATGAAAACCATCTGTAGTGCAAACAGAGACCATATTGCAGAGATTTATTATTAATTTGTGCATTTTAGTAAAACTGGAAGTAACCAGATCTAATCTTGGCAAATTATAGTGAAACAAATTGCATTAATTGCAATCCGTTTGAGGATTCAAACATAAATTCTGCAGGTAACACACATTTATTTGACTTCAGTTGGCCGGGAATCGAACTCCAAACCAATTGGTTTCGAATAAACATCTTTATCACTTTGTGGCGTTTCAAACAACAGACGAATACTTCAACCAAAATGAGCAGCGAGAAAACTCGCAACCCTCAAACTCTGTCCTGATGAAACCTCGCAACCCTCCCGCCGGCTGACTACGAGGTTTCATCACGACAAAAATGGAGTAATGAAACCTCGCATCCCACAGCGTAACCACATAAACAATAGAAAATGTATTTTTATGTACTAACCACGTTTCTAACGTGTTTTCATTTATCTGTACCAACTTTGGTTCACATGGGTCATTTTGTTCACGAGTAAATCAGTTTTTTGTCTCTCCTGTAAAATTTTCCTTTCTGGGGTTACGAGGTTTCATCACTCCACCAGCGATATATATATATATATAGATATATATCGAGAGCGAAACGTACAGCAAACGATTTTTTTCCCATCAACTACAAAGAGAATTTTCTTTCATAAAAATGGAACTATACATCTTTTCTCTCTTTTCGAAATAGTCAAAAGTCCCATGACGGGAAGAAAAGTCTTCAGCAAAATAATTCTTCGTTTGGTTGCTTCAGCTAACTTCAGCTCTTGCAACAATTTTCAAATGAGTTTTTCTCTAAACAATTTTTTGTTGCTGCAGATTTTGTTTTTTGTTCTGTCATTCTTTCGATTCTTCTTTCTTCTTTGTTGAAGGTTTCCTCTTACAAAATTAATTTAATTAAAGAATAAAGAAAAGAATGAATGGCTCTGTCGCTGCTAAGAATCTTTTCCGAACAGATCATCACCCGCGCGTTAGGTGTGTCACTGGAGTAGCAGTTTCAGTTTTCATGGAATGGCCCGAATACGTCGTTGCTATTACATGTATTTATTGTGACTGTGTGGTGAAATCAGGCGCTCGTCAAAATAATGAAAGTGAAGAAGCCGGCATTTTCCCGCAGGCTTTTCGGAATTTCCATCGAATTTTTGTTTTTGGGCTCAACGTCCATTTAGATGTATGATTGGATTGTATTGAAAAACCGCCAAACAAAGGCATAAAATATAAATTTTCTGTTTCCTAAGACTCTCAAGTTAAGGAAATAACTAAACCTTGGCGGCCAATTTTGGCGCTTATTTTATCTCTTAGACCAGGCAACCCCTACTCCTTCAATGGCAAACATCTTGACTTGTATTCAAGATCAATGAATATTTTTTTCATCAAAAAACGAGACAAATGAAGAACCTTTAAGATAATACCAATGCCTCCACAAGCAGAGACAGAAACAGAGAGAGACAGACAGAGACAGACAGAGACAGAGACAGACAGAGACCGAGACAGAGACAAACAGAGACAGAGACAGACAGAGACAGACAGAGACAGACAGAGACAGACAGAGACAGACAGAGACAGAGACAGACAGAGACCGAGACAGAGACAAACAGAGACAGAGACAGACAGAGACAGAAACAGACAGAGACAGACAGAGACAGAGACAGACAGAGACAGACAGAGACAGAGACAGAGACAGAGACAGAGACACACAGAGACAGAGACAGACAGAGACATATAGAGACAGACAGAGACAAACATATACAGAGACAGAGACAGACACAAATATATACAGAGACAGACATATACAGAGACAGACACAAATATATTACAGAGACAGAGACAGACATATACAGAGACAGAGACAGATACAAACATATACAGAGACAGAGACAAAGACAGTGACAGAGACAGAGGCAGAAAGAGACAGAGACAGAGACAGAGACAGACACAAACATATACAGAGACAAAGACAGAGACAGAGACAGAGACAGAGACAGAGACAGAGACAGAGACAGAGACAGACAGAGGGAACTCCCCGGGTCTAATAATAATCCGTCACTTATTATTCAGGCACGGCATGCACACACAGACAAGAGAGTTTTCCAGTACATAATGTACCACGACGCGGTGGAATCAGGCGCTCGTCAATTTTTGGAAGTGTGGCGTTATTGGTACCATTTTAAAACTTGTTCATTTGTCTTAATTTCGATGAAAACAATACCCATCTATCTTGAATAGAAGTTGAAATGTTTCTGATCGAAGGAAGTGGAGGTTACCTGGTCTCAGAGGTAAAATTTAATTAGCGAGAAAAAGGCCGCCAAAGTTTGGTGACTTCCAAATCTTGAGAGTCTTTTGAAACTGTAATTAATTAACATGTTTTGTGCCTTTAAATCACGATTTTCAGCAACTTCCATACAGCAATGTGTATAGGTATGTTGTTGTTGTTGTTGTTATCGATCTAGCAACAGCTGGGCTCTCGCCCTTCTGTCCAATGCCATGTAGTGATAAGTGCAGGTTTGCTGCAGTTGCTGTAAAGTTCCATAGAGTGTGTTGTCAATGTTAGGTCTCGGAGGGAGAAGGGTAGCTCTGATGTCATTTAGGGCTGTGCATTGGAACAGGTGTATAGGTATAAAAGGTGTTAACTAAAAAAAAAAAAGAAGCCAATTCTATAAAAATTGTACAACGTCCAGTAAAATGCTGGTTTCTTTGGTGTCATTATTTCACGAGCGCTTGCTTTCACAACGATGCCTCACTAATATTGTATTGCAAGACAAGATTGAACCTCTGGCGCACTCGAGCGAAACGGAAATACCAGCCTTATGTAGGTCACAGCAACCGCCCCCCC